TTGACTTTGTCTTCGCGTTCAGCCCGATGAACCCTAGCGGGTGCATCGGGACGAGGCACTTGTACTTGGCCGAAATGTCGCACGCGCGGAGGGTGAAGTTTTGCATCCGCTCCTCCTCCTCGAAGAACGACGCCGTCGCCGCCGTCGCCTTCGTGTGCGTCTCTTTCAGGTAGTCCGTGGAGTACTTGTCGTACGCGTCGTAGAGGAGGTCGAAGCCGCTGTACTCGTTGACGTCCGCGACGCGAAGGCCCGTCGCCGCGGCGGCGCGCGGCGGCGGCGCCGCGGCGGCGGCGGCGCGGGGCGCGGGGCGCGGGGCCCGCATGGCCGACGCCGCTTGCTCGCGGATCGCCATCACGTTGAAGCGCATCAAACGACGATCTGCGAGGCGGACGTGGACGATCTCGATCTTGACCGCCGCGGTCTGGCGCGCGCGCGACGCGCGGGTCGGCGACGGGGCAGTAGAAGCGTTGTAGCCGACGACCTCGAGGAGCGACTTGCCGCTGTTGAGGAGCGCGTCGCCGACGAGGACCTCGACCCGCCGCCGCGTCGAATCCGAGTTGAGGGCGGACCGGGCCGCGGCGAGGAGGCCCGCGGGACCGGAGGGGAAGGTTTCCCCCGCCGTCGGCACATAGTAGCCCTCGGGTGATAACTCGTTGACACCCGGGAAGAGCTGAGGCCGGCACCATTCGTTATCCCAGTCCGTCCCAGTGCGTCCCACTGCTCTTTTCATGACCTATGATCAAACTCTGTGAGGAGGTGTGGTGGCAGTGCGGGACCGGGGCCGGGGCGAGGAGCGGCGCGCGGAGGCCCCCGGGGGTCCCGCGCGGGAGGCGAGACCGGGCGCGGACGCGCGGCTCGGGACGCGGTGCCGCACGGCGATGGATGAAGTGCTTGCTCGGGCTCGCTGTCCAGCAGTGGCGATTTTGCTGCGAGCGGCCCAGCTTCCGAGCTCGACGACAAGCGGACAAGGCATGGCACTGGCAAGCTGCCCATCGATGGACGGCGTGCACCATGCTCGCCACGGCACGACGCCGCCGCCCTCCTCGACGGCAGCGGACGCGTCGAAGGCTGCGCGACGTCGTATGGCGTGCCGAGGATGCCGCGGCATCCCAAACTTCTACATGGGCGCGCGGCATTCTCAAACTTTCTACATGGGCGCGCCGAGGAGGCTGCCCATCAGTCGGCCATGGCTGCCCGTCGCAGGTCGGCTGGCTACCATGCCGGGCGGCACGGACGTCCTGCGCGCGCTCAAGAGCGCGGTCAAGACCTTCGAGGACCCGGCGACCTTCGTCGACGACGACACGCTCGCGGCGGCGTTGGACGCGCTCGAGACGAGCTTCGGCGACGTCTTGAAGCGCCGCTACTTCAAGCGCGACGTGCCGCTCGTCGCCGACGACGGCGTCCTCGCGGCGGCGGCCTTCGTGGTCGCGGCGTGGACCGACGTGCTCGAGGACCTGCCGGACGCCGCCGGCCTCGAGGCGCTCGGCTTGGACCAGGACGTGCGCCGCGCCTACGACAAGGTCAAGGAGTGCATGAAGCGGCTGATGAGCGCGACGAGCGCCGTCGACGAGGCGCTCGCGACGGCTACTACGGGCCGGACGACGCGGCGGGCGACGTCGCGCTAGCCGATCAAGCTCTCCGTCGACGTGTGCGCGCTCGTCGAGAGCCTGAAGCTCTTCGGCGCGACGGCCGGCGCTGCGTGGGCGCCCACGTCGCCGGGGCGCTCCTCGCCCACCGTGACGGCGAGCGCGTCGTCGACGCCGAGCGCATCGGCGCCGCCGACGAACTCCGCGCGCGCGGGAAGCCACGCGGCCGTGCGCGACGGCGCCGAGGCGCGCGCGGACGCGGCCGAGGCGCGGGTCCGACGCGCGAAGGACGTCGGCGAGCTCTCGGACGACGCACGCCTGCCTCGGTCCTTGCGGCCCGGGCCCGCCGACGTCGTCGCGCGAGGCCGTCGGCGCGCGCGCCGCGACCGACGACGAGAGCGACCCGTCACGCCTCCCCCTAGACTCAGCGTAAGCGTCCCTCGGGGCCTCGCGGCCGGGCACACGCGCGCGCGCGTCGCGGCTGCAACAACCGGGGCCTCGCGGTCGGGCACACGCGCGTGCGCGTCGCGGCTGCAACAACATTCAACACCGAATGTTGAACCATGCTCTCCGAGGCGGTCGACATGCGCTTCGGCCGCACGCGTCGACGTCTTGCAATTCGTCATGCACTGCGTCGCGTCGTCCTCGTCGTCCAGGACGCGCCGCAGCAGCTGCGCCGCGGCGTCCTGGCTGGCGACCTCGTCGCGCGCGGGCGACAACGCCGCGCCGGCGGGCGCCGCTTCGGTGCGCGAGTTTGGACCTCGACGCCGTCGCGGTCCACCGTCCACGCGCACCTCGAGGCGCTGGACCACGGCGCCGTCGACGCGCTCGCGCGGGGCTAGCGGCTCGCGCCCGTCGCACAGGGCGCCGGCTGGAACGCGCGCGCGGGCCGCGACGGGTGCACGCGCTGCTGCGGCGGCGGCGCGAACGCGTCGCTCCCCTACGGCGACGCGCACGCGCCCCGTCGACGCGCTGCGGGATCGACGCGCATGGCGAGCGCCTCGCGGCCCCGCGCGGCCGTCGTCTTCCAGGAGAACGGCGTCGCGGGCCCGCGGAGCGCTTCGACGCGTCCGCCGCGCGCCGCGCCGCGTCGCGACGCTGTCGGCGTGCGACGACTTCGAGGCGACGGTCGACGTGGGCGTCTCGCGGACGACGAAGCGCGACGACGGCGCGGCGTCGACGACCGAGGCCGACGCGGCCGACGACCGACGACGCGCTGCCGCTTGTCGGCGCGTAGGCCGGACTCCGGGACGCGTGGTCTGCGCCGGAGCCGCGGGAGCCGGAGCCGCCACGGCCGTGTATCGCCGACGAACTCCGACGAACTTAGTCGACGAGCTTAGTAAGACGAACTTAGTCGACGAACTTAGTCGACGAATCTTAGAGCCCGAGGATCTCCAGCTCGCGGGCGAGGCACTCGCGGACCCAGCTGGAGGAGCCCTCAAGGATGATGGCCCCGTAGCGCGCGCCCTTGCCCAGGTCGTTGTGGTGCGCACCGAAGTGCTGGTTCGCACCCTTGAAGTCAAGGACCAAGTTCGCGGGATGATCTATGCCCGCGCTGTGCACGTGGTCGACCTGGGCGAGAGAGACGAGCTCGTCGACGACGGAAGGATAAGGTTGCACGCAGGGGAAGCGCGCGACGATGACCTGGTGGAACAGACCGCTGTCGCGCGCCTCGTCCCTGATCGCGTCCTTGACCGCGTCGCCGCTCAGGGACCGCGCCTGTGTGGAAGAATTGATGGATCTCCTGGAGTTCTCGAAGCACGGCAGAAAACCTCGCGTCGAAACCGTCGCACACTCTCACGTCGAAGTCGGGTTGAAGATTTGAATTCCACACGGCGCCGCGCGCCGCTGCCCTGGCCCCGGTAGAAGATCTCGTGCGCGAGCTTGTGCACGGGGCAGTCCGGGTGCCCGAACCACGCGAGGTGGGGCGCCTCGTCCCGTAGCAAATCGTTGCCCGAGGCCGCGGAATATCCCGAGGACGTCGCCAACTGGGCGTTCATCCGTAGCAGCTGGGCGTTCATCCGTCCTTGTTCGGCGGCGTTCGCGGCGGCGGCTCGCGCGTGCTGCGACGCGGCGCGGACCCGCGCTTGGCCGCGCAGCGTCGCGAAGAAGTCCTCGTCGGGCGCCTCGTCGAGCCGCGCCGCCGAGTCCGCGAGGAAGTGGTAGACCTCCGCACTCGTCTCCGACCGCAGCGCCTCGAGCCGGTCCCAGTTGACCCGCGTGCGCTTCTGCGGGCCGGACGGGGAGGACGTCACGACGTCGCCGCCGACGAGCGCCTTGCCCGTCGCGAAGCGACCCCGGCCCGCGTGGCCACGCGAGGGCCCCTCGAGCGCGTCGCCCGCGATGACGCTCAGGGCTTCGGCGCGGTGGCCCTCGGGCGCCTGCTGCCAGCCCTCCGTCTCCGGGCCTTCGAGCGCGAGGGAGAAGATCTTGGCCCGGTGGACCGCGTCGGGGAACGACAAACCCGCGTGCGCTCCCGAGTTGCCGAAGCGCTCGAACACGAGATTCCCGTTTTTCGGCGCGAACATCTCGACGGTGCCGTCGGTCTGCACTTTAACGACGCGAGCCGTGTCCTCGACGTCGTCGAGGTAGCCGACGCCTCCCTGATTGTACTCGCCCTTGTCGTCGTCGGCGACGTGGTAACTGTTGAGGTACACGCTGAGGTTTTTGTCCGTCGCCTTGAACTTGAGGGTGGCCTTGGTGTTGTGCTCGATGAAGGCGGCGATGCTCGGAGCGTTTTTCTTCCCCTCGGCCTTGGCCTTGGCGATGAGCGGTCGCACGATGTCGGGGTGGTTTGAAGACTTGGCTTGAGAAAACTTAACCATCGCGCGCACGAGCAGCAGATGAGCTGCTCCACTCGATCAATTTTTGCCTCAATGTTCAACATGCTCGCCGATATCGCGATGGCCTTGGGCGCCGCCGAGGACTGCTGACGGAGTCGCACGCCTCGTCGCACGCCTGGCCACCCTGGAGCGCGCCGAGCTCCACCGCGGTGTACACCAGCGCCGTAGCACTCCACAACACCAGCGCCGGCGCCGCGCCGACACGCGCCGCGCACGACGGCGCGGAAGAAGCGCAGCCAACAAAAGGCGTGGCCGGCGGAGGCCGCGTCGCCGCAGCGGTCCATGCGCTGGTACTGCGCCCGCGGCGGCGTGCCGGCGGCCCTGGGCCTCGTCCTGGCCCTGTCCTGGGCGCCGCGCGCGGCGCCGGCGCCGCGGCTCGGCCCCTGGGAGCGGCCGGAGGGCAACGCGAGCTACGTCGGCGTGCCCGTGCTGATCAGCGAGCACCCGCACGAGCCCGGCGCGTTCACGCAGGGCCTCTGCTTCGACGGCGCGGGGCGCCTCTACGAGTCGGACGGGCTCTACCAGAAGTCCGCCGTGCGCCGCGTCGCGCCGGCGACGGGCCGCAGCGAGAAGCTCACGCGCAACGACGCGCGCCACTTCGGCGAGGGCCTCACGGCCGTCGGCGACCGGCTCTGGCAGTTGACGTGGCGCGAGCGCGCGCTCCACGAGTTCGACCTCGACCTCAAGCTGCTGCGGACCGTGACGCACCCCATGCAGGAGGGCTGGGGCCTCGCCTACGACGACGCCAGGGGCGTCGTCTACGGCACGGACGGCTCGTCGAAGCTCTTCACCTTCGACCCGGCCGACTGGAGCCAGCCGCGGCCGCCCCTGGAGGTGTCGGACGCGCGGCTCCGGGGCCTGCCCATCAACGGCCTCAACGAGCTCGAGATGGTCGAGGGCGAGCTCTGGGCGAACGTCCTGCCGCTCCACTACCACAAGGCGTCGCCGTGCGTCGCGCGCGTCGACCCGGCGACCGGCGCGGTCAAGGGCTGGGTCGACCTCAGCGCGCTCCGGGCCCGCCAGTCGCCGCGCGTCCAGCGCCAGCGCCTCAACTACGTCACCAACGGCCTCGCCTACAAGCGCAACGCGGCCGGCCGGCCGACGCTCTACGCCACGGGCAAGCAGTGGGACTACATGTACGACATCGATGTCAAGGCGACGGATCTCGGCCCGCTCCACGTCGTCCAGCACTGCGACCTCTACATCCCCCGGGGCCACGCCGTCGGCCACCTCTAATTTTATCGCATGCCCGTGCCGCGCGCGCGCTCCGCGGCGTCGCGGTGCTCGTCGTCGCGCTTCGGGTCCCAGGCGAGCTGGGGCCAGGGCGCGCGCCTCAGCTTCTCGAGGCACACGATGAGCTTCGCCTTCTTCTTGATCACGCGCGAGAATCGGACCTTGTCGTAGAGCCGCGGGATCGCGAGAGTGCGCGTCTCGCCCCGGAGCCGCACGACGACGTCGAGCTTCGTGTTCTGCCAGTTCTTGACGTCGACGGCGACGTCGACGTCCCGCGCCGCGTCGAGGTCCGCGAGGTCCCCGGGCTCGAAGGGCAGGTAGACCCGCGCCTCCGCGTCGCTCTTCTCGGCCCAGCTGTAGCTCGCCACGGGCACCGTCGCCGGCGGCGGCGGCGCGAGCGGCGCGGCGGCGGCCTCGGCGGTCCTCCGCTGCGCGGCGGCCGCGTAGTAGTAGCTCCGGGACCCCTTGTTGGTGAGGTCCTGCTCGAGCCGCGTCTGCGGCGCCGGCGGCGCCGCGGGCTCGAGCGACGCGGCCGCGACCTCCGGCGCGCCGCCGCCACTGTCTTTGAGCCAGGCGCGGAGGTCGCCGACGCGCTTCGCGGCGCTCCGGAGGCCCGCGTTCTCCGGCTCGAGCGCGAGCCCCGCCTCGTAGGCCTCGACGGCGTCGCCGAGCATGTTCAATCCCTCGTAGGCCCGGCCGCGCCGGAACTGCGCCTTGGCGAACGTCGGGTCCCGCTCCAGCGCCAAGTCCGCGTCGGCGAGCGCCTCCTTGTAGAGGCGGAGCTCGACGAAGCAGGCCGCGCGGTTCGAGAAGAGGGCGGCGCTGGGATGGATCTCGAGGCATTCCGTGTAGAGCGCGCGGGCCGCCGCCCAGTCCTTGGCGACGAAGGCGTCGCGGGCCATGCTCTTCAGCCGCGCCATGTGGGCCTCGGCCTCCGCCAGGGAAACCATCTCTCCTCGTGGTTTGCCTAAAAACAAGGGGTAATAAATAGTATGGGGTGGCAGCTCAACGAGATTATGTTGCGCGAGCTCCTCGTACTGCAACCCATCGTTTTGGGGCAATGTTGACGACTTTTGGCCGGGGACTTTTCGACGCCGCCGTCGTCGACGCGGCCCCAGACGGACCGCAGCGGTATTCGCTCCCCCGCGAAGGCGCCCGCGACAAGACTTACGCGTCCGGGCGGTTCGGGTCCGGTGGAAGGAAACCGAGGCGCGCTGGAGGGCACCGTGTCCGGTTTGGCGCCACGCGAGGAAGGGGGTTTTGGGGCAGCTCTTGGACGTGTTCGCGATGATGATGGTCGTGGACCGTCTGCTGGCGCTGCAGAGCCCTTCGTTGGTACCTATGGATGGGCTCGAGCATCTCAGGACACGAAAAGTTCTCGACCTCGAATGCCCGCACGCTGCCCGAGAAACTGTGTTGCGACACCGTCGGCGCCGGGGCTGCGCAGGCTCTGAGATCGTGGGAAAAGTGTGTCCTGAAGGTTTCGAGCCCCCCGCGGGTACCCATAGGGCGCCTCCAACCTCTAAGGACAAGAAAATATCGCACACTCGACTCACACCGCCGCCCTCTCGTCCCGCCGCCGAACAACCGTCGCGCTCGCGAGCCAACGCAATGATCTCAGCAGCCCAAATTCGCTGCCCCGCCCCGTCGAAGGGTTCCGCAGCCGCGCCGCGCCGCGCGACCCGCCATCGTTGCACTCAGCCCGCGCGCTGCGGCGTGGAAGAAGAAAGAAAACGCTAGCGGCGGCCCCGAGTAGTACGAGGACCTCGCGTTTCGCCTGCCACCCCATCTAGATTTATATCCCCTTGCTAAAAACTGACGCGAGCGGCAGGTTTCCCATCAAGAACCGTCGTTTACCCAGGCCAGCCAGCCCGCCCCGGTTTGAATCGCGATGGGTCGTGCCGGTGGCCGCCGCAGCGCGTCGCTGACGCCGCGCCTGTCGCCGCGCGCGTCGCGCACGGCGCTCCTGCGGCTGCTGGACATGGCCGAGCGCGCGCGGCCGCCGCCGCAGCGCGCGAGCCCGATGCGGTCGTCGCGGACGCTGCCCTGGGAGGAGGTCATCGCGCGGCAGAACGGCACGCTCCTCCGGCCCCGGGGCCGCAGCGCGCCGCCGCGCTACGCGTCGACGCCGCGGAGCTCGCGGAGCTCGACGCCGCGGTCGCGGACGCCGCGCTCGAGCCGCGCGCCGTCGCCCGAGCCCGCGGCCGCGCGGCGGCCGCGGCCGCGGTCGCGGCCGCGGCGCCGCGAGCTCGCGAAGACGGTGTCCTGGGAGCCCGCCGCGGCCGACGACGACCAGGCCGCGGCCTTCCGCGCGGCCCTCGCCGAGGCGCTGGCCCTCGCGCGCGACCCGCGCCACGTCGTCGCGCTCTCGCGAGTCTACGCGCACGCGGTCGGCGCGCTCGACGTCGCCGACGGCTCGGCCCTCGAGGACGCCGCGGCGCCCGCGGTCGCGGCCGCGCCCGCGGGCGACAACGACGACGACGACGGCGGCGACGACGACCTCGCGTCGACGCGGCGCCTCGTCGACGCGGTCTCGCGCCTCGAGCGCACGACGGACGAGTTCTACGGCGCGCCCGCGAAGCCGCGGGCTTCGCGGCCGAAGAAGCGGGGCCGGCGGAAGAAGCAGCGCCCCCAGCAGGCCGCCGCGACGACGCCCAGGCCCGCGTCGCCGGGGTCGTCGACGCTCGGCTCCGAGACGAAGAAGCAGGAGGCCATCGCCCTGCTCGCGCAGCTCAAGGAGATCCTCGAGGTGTCCTAACTTTTACGTGCCTTTGGGGACGATGGCGGCGCTGTCCCAGCGCGCGAGGTCCACGGAGACGGTCGCGCCCTCGTAGTCGCGCCGGCACGCGAGGCCGGCGAACTCCGGCGGGCCGAGGGGGTCGCCGACGGCGACGTCGAGCTGGTCCACGCGCCAGAGCGGGCCCTGGGAGACGTCGTACCACCAGCCGTAGGAGAAGTAGCTGCCGGCCGTCGCCAGGCACAGGTAGGCGGCGAGCGCGTAGGTCGCCAAATCCGTCGCCGCGCGGCGCACGCCCGCGTCCGTCCGGTTGCGGAGCGTCGCGTTCGTCGCCGGGTCGCGGAAGTGGCGCGGCCACCGCGGGCCGTCCGCGTCGATGGGCGTGATCTCCGGGCCGACCCAGGTCTTGACGAGCAGGGGCGCCTCGGGGGGCAGTTTCCGCGTCGCGTCGAGCCAGAGCGCCGCGACCTACCAAGCTCGTCGGGAACGATGTTTCGAAATCTCTCGAAAATCGTCGCGGCCGCAGGACGCTGGCCGCGACCGACGCGTTCACGGCGCCCGTGTGGCGGTCCTCGACCCACTCGAACGCGCCCAAATGTTCCGCGCAGAGGCCGTCCAGGACGTCGCCCAAGACGAGGTCCACGAGGTAGGTGTCGTTCTTGGCGCCGAAGCCGTTGCCGACGACAAAAGCGTCGGCGTCCCGCGCCTTGAGGCCGTCGCGCGCGCGTTTCAGCGCGGCTCGCTGCCCCTCGGCCCACGCGGCCGCCTTGCTCTCCGAGACGTTCGTCCACAGGGTCCAGTCCCAGTGGTCGCAGGAATCGAAGAACACGCCGGACATGTTCGCGCCCGCTTCGTCTCGCGCGGCGAGGGGCGCGGCGACCCACCAGTCCGCGGCGGCTCGCACCGAGAAGTCGACGTAGGGCCAGGTCATGTCGTCGTCGTCGCAGACGGGCGTCCGCTCGCCCGGCCCGACGCACAGCGCTTTCCCGTCGTCCCGGCGCAGCCACCAGTCCGGGTGCGCCAGCAGCTCCGCGCCGAAGGCCGCCTCGTAGCACCGCGGCGGGCCCGCGACGCGCGCGTTCCAGTAGAAGAGCACCTTCGTGCGCTCGTTGGACGCCTTCAGCTGCGCGGCCGTGGCGACGAAGTTGGCCATGGTCCGGTCCTCGGCGCCGGGGCCCGTGCCGAAGCACTTCTCGATGGACACGACGTCGTAGGTCGACGCGACGTAGGCCGCCTCGTCATCCGACAGGCCGCAGACCATGCCGCCCCGCCTCGTGCAGGTCCGGTTGTGGCCGAGGGCCGAGGAGAAATCGGCCCACTGGCGCACGGGCGCCAAGGCGGCGCGCGCTGTTGTTAGTAGGAGCGCTGCCGCGAGGATGCTCATCATCGTTCCGGAGGGCAACGTTCAACGCGCTATCTAGGCTAGGAGAGGTTAACAGCTAGAGGGCCTACCCGGGGGGTTTGCTATCAACGTTTTTTTCGGTGCCCTCATCAGCTTGCGCTGCCTTCCTCGTCGCGCTGTGGAACCGGCCTCGGCGCCGTTTTCGACCTGCGCCATGGCCGACGTCGCTCCCGCCGGCGGTAGTAAGATCGTCGTCTTGAAGACGTGACCCTTGGCCGGTTGGGTCATGGGCAACCGGACCCCCGTGGCCGAGGCGATCAAGGAGAAGATGCCGGGCTACGAGGTCAAGCATGTTTGGTCCGAGGTCGACGGCAAGAAGGGCAAGACGGAGTGCGCGCCGCTGTACTTTAACGTGCCCGCGTGCTACTCCAAGAACAATTGCAAGGGCGCGATCGACAAGACGGCCGCGAACGCCGCGGCCGTCGGCGGCGGCGCCGCGCCCGCCGCGGAGGCGATGGAGCGCTAGGGGCAGCGTCCGCGCGGGACCCGCCGCCGGGCTTCATGACGCCGCGGCGACGTGCCTGTGACGCACCGTCGCCGCGGCCGAGCGCGCCCGCCGGGTCCCGCGCGGCGCCGCCGCGCGGTCCGCCTCGATTAAAAAGAAGGACGCTTACTGGGCCAGCGGGCAGTAGGACGGCTTCTCCAGGGGCGGGAGGCCGGCTTCGTCGTCGCCGTCGTCGCGCGCGACCCAGGGGAGCGCGCGCATGGTGAAGCCCGCGTTGCCGTGCGCGCCGCCCGTGACGTGGTCCGCGGACGTGATGCCCGGCGCGTGGCCGACGTGGCGGAGCATGTGGAGGTAGACGAAGCCGGTGGGCCGGTCGCCGACGACGCGCTCGTAGGCGGCGCAGAGCGCCTCGTGGAGCTCGACGGGCATCGCGAAGAGGCACTCGCCCTCGATGCCCGTGACGAAGGCGACCTCCCGGCGCTGCTTGACGGGCGTCTCCACGAGGTCCTCGTCGTCGGCGCGCCCGAAGACCTGCTCGGCCCAGTCGCGGACGCGCGCCGCGCGCGCT